TTTATGTATAGTTTGAATTTTCACAAACCAAATACATCCATATAATCACCCAAATTTTTTTAAAAAAATGAACATTAACACTGATTTTGAAATTTTTCTTAACTTTCAAGAGAAAAAGCTAATGTTCCACTGTCTTGCCAATGGGTTTCTGCCCTGGGCAAATTCGCTATGGATTCAATGTGACCAAAGATATGACTGCAAAATGTTCTTGTGGTGAAAGGGTTATACCCAACTTTATTTCCAGGTGGTAGGTCAGTCACTAAAATCCCCTTCACTCAGAGTGAATTTGCATGCAGCAAGCCGGTCTCTGCCTCTGGGCCCCTCTGTCCACACAGCCATCCTCTGGGCCTCTCTGCCTGCACAGCCATCCCACACACCTGTCCTCTGGGCCTCTCTGCACAGCCATCCCACATAGCCATCCTCTGGCCCTCTGTCCTCGGTGCTGCCACCACTCCAGCCTCTGCTCTGCTCTCCTGCTGTCTTGCAGCTGTGCCAACAAGTCACACTCAGAGCACTGGGCGGGGCTCTTTATATAGAGTCAACAGCCATGTATTGCCCAAAGATCTCTGTGACTTTGCCATTTAAACAGTGTGAATTAACATCAACTTGCCCGGGGTGGAAAATTTCAAAATCAGTGTTAATGTTCATTTTCTTTAAAAGTTTGGGTGATTACATGGATGTATTTGGTTTGTAAAAATTCAAACTGAATTTCAAACAGTGAGCTAGTCAACCAGGTTCAGGTGAGAATCCTGGCCACAGGAACTCTCATTTTATCCACACTCCACCCCTCCAGGATTCTCTCCTCTCAATCTATGTGCCCTTAGTCCTCTGCAGTGGTCCCTGTGCAAGGAAGCTTGAACATTGTTCTCCAGCCTCTCCAGCAAAAAGTCTTGCAGACACACAGGCCAGACTTGTGGCTCTGTCTCTGACCTCTGCTACTTTAGTCTTAATGGCTTGAACTGCTGCACTGGTTTCAGTTGTTGCCATAGCTCCAGTAAGATCCTATTTGGCTTCCGGTCTAATTTCCATCTATCTACTCCTGCCCATATTAAATCAACCTACATCTGAGTACTCATAACCTTCATAAGGCCCCTTAAATTCTTCTTGTGAGTCACCTCGCATTTTGTAATTGCTGCCTCAAGGCGGGCTGCACTGTCAGGGAAGACAGCTTTCCCATCTCTGATCCCAAAAGAACAATTTCATCCACCCCTAAGTCCCACAGCCACCGGCTCAGCCTGAGTATAGGGGCAGACAAGAGTGCTCCACGACCTGGGGAGGGGGCCACTCCTCTCCTTGGGGAACTTTCAGCTGTGGGTCTTTATTTTCTTTACAACCACTGGGTGTGCTTTCAGTACAGGAGAGGCCAGTGCCTCCGGCACCACCCCTTCATCCTTCCCCAGCTCCTCCATTTCTGGAGCTCATAGTACCTTTCTCTCCACTATCCCAAGTGCCTCCGCTGTTAACAGTGCCTTGCAACAATGCTAGCTTAGTCTTCAGAAGCTCTCTTACCTTCAGCTCAATGCTTTGCAGCTGACATTCTCGCCACCTCCACCTGTGCTTCCCTCAGGAGTTCATCTTTTTCCTTGATGGTCTCTTCCACCTTCAGAACACCTGGCAGCACTGCCATCTCCTCCAGTCAGGAATTGTTTACCTCTCCAATGGCACCTTGCTGCAGGCATTCTCATGCTGACTCCTCTCACATCAATGCCATTTCCTTCTTCAGGGAATCCACAGAACTTTGCAGCTTGCATTCTTGTGCTGCCATTTCTTGGGTCTCTTTTGTAGACATTTTTAATACTGTAAGAAGCAGCCAACCCACAGTCCCCGCTGCCTCACGAGCACTCTGTTTCTCAAAGGATTTTACTATACCAAGGGCCACCCCTACTGCCTCAGGTGTCACCTCCACTTGCCTCCAGTCCTGGGGTGGGACCCAGTCCTCTAGGAGGCAAGCCACCTAAGACCACATACCCATTGGGGGACAATCCACTGTCTCCCCATTCACAGGGGCAGCCCGCTGAAGCACCCCTCCCATAAGGGCAGCCTTTTTCTTTGGTCAACAATGAATCCTGCTGACTATGCCAATTGTCTTGCCAATGGGTTTCAGCCCCAGGCAAGTTCACTATGGATTCAATATGACCAAAGAAATGACCGCAAAACATTCTTGGGGTGAAAGGGTTATACCCAAGTTTATTTCCAGGTGGCAGGTCAGTCACTAAAATTCCCTTCACTCAGAGTGAGTTTGCATGCAGCAAGCCAGTCTCTGCCTCTGGGCCCCTCTGTCTGTACAGCCATCCTCTGGGCTCTGCCTGCACAGCCATCCCAAAGAGCCATTCTCTGGGCCTCTCTGCACAGTTGTCCCACACAGCCATCCTCTGAACCTCGGTCCTCGGTGCTGCCACCACTCCAGCCTCTGCTCTGCTCTCCTGCAGTCTTGCAGCCGTGCCACCATGTCATGCCCAGAGCACTGGGCGGAGCTCTTTGTAGAGTCAGCAGCCATGTATTGCCCACAGGTGTGCAGTGAGCTAGTCAACCAGGGCCAGGTGAGAATCCTGGCCACAGGTACTCTCATTTTATCCACATCCACTCTGGATATTTGTTGTTATGTCAGGTAACATTAAAGGCAATATGCTCACCTTGAAGATCTCCTGGGAGCTACAATACCACTAGTGGTAGGCAGAATAATAGCTCCCCAAAGATATCCATCTCTTAATCCCCAGAACCTGTGAGTATGTTTCCTTACATAGCAGAAGAGACTTTGCAGATTGGATTCAATTAAAGATTCTGGGATGGGAAGATTGCCCTCAACTATCTGAGTGGACTCAATGTAATCACAGGGGTCTCTTTAAGTGAAAGAGGGAGGCAGGCCTGTCAGAGAAGATGTGATTAGGGAAACAGAGGTCAGATGGACCATGGAATGTGGGTAGCCTCTGGAAGCTGGAAAAGGCAAGGAAGCAGATTGTCCCCTGCAGTGTAGGAAGGCAGACCTACTGGTGCTTAAAAAAAAACAATTGACATATAACATTGTATGTTTCCAGGGTATGACATGATTCAATATACATATGTCTAGATAACTGTGGGGACAATGAAGTTCCTATGGCCAGGATCCTCACCTGAACCTAAACTACTTGATGTAACTGGCCTGCTGCTAGGCTACTGCTTCCACACTGTAGGCAATAAGCTATTATTGAGCGAGTCACTGTATAAAGAGCTCTGCCCAGTGCTCTGGGCGGAGGCAGGGACAAGGAGGATTATGAACATGCAGACTCTTGGATGCGGATGTAATTCTAGTGCTGGACCTATCCCTGGGAGAACAAGCCGGGTAATAAGCCCTTTTACCCCAAGAATGTTCCATTGTCATTCCTCTGTCTCACTGAACCCATAGTGAACTTGCCCAGGGCTGAAACTCACTGGCAAGACACACCCATCACCACACAGAGTTACAATGTTTTTCTTTTTATACCTACACAGCTAGATTTGCCTGAAGCCCATTTCAGACTCCTAACCTCCAGAACTGTAAGACAATACATTTTTGTTGTTTTAAGCAACTAAATTTGAGGCAATTTGTTACAGCAGCAATAGGAAACTAATAAACCGTCTGGTGAATCTCTGTGCAGATTCATATATCTAATTACTTTATAGCTTCATGTTACTACCTCATAGGCATCCCAAAACATAACATCCCTAATTAAAACTTTTAACTTCCCAAATCTGGTCACCCTTCCAGGTTTCCTCTTGTCTTGGTAAATGGCTCCAGTCACCCAAGTACTAAAGCCAGACACTTGGAAGTCATGTTTTCTTTTCTGTCATCCACTCACCCTTAATGCATAATTGATTTGCATCAGTTCTACTTTCAAACGAAATCTCATACCCATCCACTTCAACTGAGTCTCACTGCCACCATCTTTTTTACTATTTTATCCTAATAGGGAATATGTGCATATACTGTAAAATACAAAAGGCATTACAAATAGGTATTCAATAAAAAGTCCATCTCCTCCCAAACCTGTCAGATGCACCCTGTGGCACAGTTTTTTATGTAGCCTTCCAGAGCCTTTTTTTTCCCACTGCCACCATTCTCGATATCCACTCAGTCCGTTCTCCTCGCAATAGACAAAGTGGTATTTAAAAAATCCGATGGTACTTCCTTGCACAAAATCCCTTAACGTCTGTCCTTTTGTAGCTGATGCGACTATTTAGTGGCTCTAAGTTAAACTGCAGAAGAACAGTTCATAAGAATTCTGCAAATTAGAGCTTCACCATTAACTGAAATACATCAAGTGCAAAGTTTGGATTTGAAATTCACTTCATAGCAAGAACTCTCAATGACTTGTTAGACTGTTTAGTTTCACCGGTGGTAAATCATTTAGTGGTTGTAAAAAATACCTTAAATGTTTGGTATCACTAACTGATTGAAAGTTCGTCAATGACTCAGAAATTTGAAAAGAACACTGAAGAAGTCTTCACCAGGAACAGGGTGAGCCCTTTCGTGTTCCGCTCCGGGGATCCGGGCCAAGTCTAGCTAGAGGCTCCCTAAAGAGGAAGCCGGGGCTAAGCTCATTACAATGATCAGCTGCTGTCTGCCCGGTTTCGGTCCTCAACATGCCATCAGAGCTTTCCAGCGCACGTGGTCCTAGGAGGCCGAGGCTTTAACCACAGAAGGCTCTGGGGTGAACCGGCTACAGGACAGTATTGTTTTGGTCATGGCCTATGAAATGACTGACAGGATGGAAAGCTTAAGTAATTCCACCGTCGGGTCCAAGCCGAGGCAACCACCCCATGGGCGGCCCGGGGTTTCCGCGCAACCGCGAGCACAAGGCCAGGCGGAAAAGGCCGCGCCACGACGACGGTGGGCGGGAGGCCCTCGCGCTCCCGGCCGCGCCGGCGAACCCTTCGGGAGGGGTGGGAGCGGCGGGGCACCGCCAGTTACAGCAGTCCTCCCAGGTGACGCAGGCGCGCTGCTCGCCGAGTCGGCGCTCGGAGTGGGTGTGCAAGGCGGGGCGGGGCTTGGGTTAAGCGAAGAGTCATCGATCCGCGGGGCCGAGGTGCGGAAGCCGGGGGGCGCGCTTGTGCCCGGCCTGCTTTCTGGTGCAACCTTCCGCGGTTGCCGGCGAGGCGCGGCGGCGGCAGGGGAGGGAGCAGCGCGCCAGCGTCTGGTGAGAGCCGCGCGTCCGCGGGGGGCTCCGGGCACTGGCTGGAGCAGAGCTTACCCCCGGTCCGCTGGGCGCCTTCTCCCGCCCCTGCCTCGAGGTCCGTTCCCCGGGCAGCGGCCTGCACCCGGCCCGGGCCTTGCCCGGCCTCCCCTGGCCCTGCCCGCCCTCTTTAGTCCCGTTACAGGCTCCTCCTGGCGGCCGGTGAAGCAGACAGGTTCATAACCGGCCCGTGTGAAAACCCGGGGAACTGGGGCGGGGATAGGGGTTAGGAGAGGGAGGCCCGGCCTGACTTCATCCCCAGTGCTGTGTAGTGAGGAAGCGATCTGTCCTGAAAGACAGCGAGTGTTCTGGTACGGGGGTGTGCAAGAGAGGGCGCAGAGCTACTTGGCCGACAGGTTACCCCGTGATGTAAACCGTTGGACAGAAAGATAATCTTGAAGGCCTACATTCTGAGTCTGGGCCGCCTTCGAAGTTCCATATGCGTTTATTTTTTTCTTCCAGTTCTGAGCCCATTTGTAAAATTTTAGAGCATGAGAAAGTATTCCTTGCTCTTCTGATGGAGAGGAGGGGTGGGGTACAGTTTAGCAGTGTAGAATAACTGGTTAACTCAGCTATAGAAGACGCTCTGGAAGAAGCCAAACCGAATTATATCTTGGGAATAGGGTTCTGAATTTCAGATCACTTATATATAGCCCCTTCTTTCTTATTCCTGTTAATGTCATCCCCTCTGTACTGAGGGAAGAATGACACACCAAGTTCTCCTCATTCCCATGGTGTCTGGCGGGACCTGGCCACAAGCAAGGTTCTCACTCATGGACGTGGACAGACAGACACTAGGCAAACACTGGATGTGACAATATCCTGAGTGCTGGGTAGGATTTTTGGTTCCAGCAATTAATTGTGATTTGGGGCAACTATATTATTTTTTCTGTACCTCAGTCTCCCCTTCTGTAAAATGGTGCTAACAGGGCTGTGAAGATGAAATGGTTGATGCTTGTAAAGCTCTAAACGCAGTGCTTGGCCTTCAGAAGTGGTTGGCAAACTGTTTACTGTTACTGTTTCTTCTGCTCCGTGATTGCTTCAGCCAAGTACAGTTGAAGTGGGACATTACTTTTCTGGAAAAGGTTGATTGAGTGCCTCTTGTCAGTATTTAAAATAGTTTTGAGAGAATTCAGAAAGTAGTCTTCAAGAATTGGGCTTCTCAGAAATTGCCAGTGAGTTCAAGATGAAGGCAGACTTTTCTGTGATCTATTTTAGTGGTTCTGGTTACAGTTATGGAATTGACTAGTGAAAGGGGTACAAATATACAATCCCTCCTGACTTTCTGAGCTTTAGGTTTGAGGGGACAATGGAAAACACACCTACTTCACAGTCTATTTACATTTTTATTTGAGACTTCTTGTTTTGAATAACGAAATATTTCAAATATGCTGAAAAGGACAGAAGAAAATATGGCACCCTCTGTCAGTCACCAAGATTTAACATATATTAACATGTTACCATGTTTGTTTCAGATCCTGCTTATGATATGATTTTTAAAAATAGGTATTTATATGGATAGCTAAAGCCCTTTCAACTCCATTTCCCATTCCCTTCCCTCCCTCTCCAGAGGTGACTACTTCCCTGAGTTGCTGTGTAATTTTACTGTCCATGAATAAACAACACACAGTAGTGTTTTACACATTTTCAAAAGCTTCCAAAAAATGGCACTCTGTTGTATCTAACTTTTTAGATACCTAATTTTAGATGCTGTTTTCCTCTAATGTTATTCTTTTGAGATTTATCAGCATAGGCATAGAGATATTCTATTTGTTTTCATTTACTAATATTCCACTATATGAAGAAACTGGTTTTATCTTGTTTCCTTTACATTGTACTTTGTGCAAGTTAAATTCTCCTATTATAGTTTATAAGTTCACTTTGTCACCCTTTTCATTCCACACTTACTGGTCTTGGAGAGACTGGTCACAGTTCTCAGTATAAAAGTGTATCTTCAGGCATGGCTGTCAACCAGAACAAGTAACAACTTACACTGGGCTGAGAAAAAAGTATGTTAATTTCATTTCTGATGACTCTATTTGGGACAGTGAACTACTTAAGATCTGTTATGTAGTCTGGTGTCATGTACTAGATTTTAAGTTTCTAAACGTCAGAGACTAGATCTTTCTCAGCTCCACGTTTCTTTGTTTTCTTTACATGCTCTGTACAGGGCATATATTCAATGAATGTTTGTGACATTGATTATTTTTACTTTTGGGGCTCATAACCATAGCCCTTCATGTGTTTGAAAAGTTGATGGCCAGCAATTTTCAAAACTATGCACGTTTAGGTTTGATATTTCCAAGGTCTTTAAACTTTCCCATTTTACCATTTAATTTGGAAACATAATTAAAAGCATTTTAAAAACAGGACATGCAACAAGTTTGTAGAAAGTTACCAGTTGCATAATATACACTATAAGTAAATCCGTATGTATCTATTTACATATGCATATTTTACAGAAGGATACGTCAGACACTAGTAACTCTTGTCTTTGAGGAACAAGAACTATGTGGCTGTGGAACACAGATGAGAAGACTGCTACATAGACTGTTGTGACTTTTCGATTTTAAACCATTGGAATGTACTACCTAATAAAAAAGTTAAACATTTTTAAGAAACAAATTCTCCCTTTAAAAAGGCATTTTACCATTATTTTCTTTTTAAGATTTAATTTCTTTCCTTACAAAAAGCTTTGGCCTTAGTAACATTATTATATTTTTCATTGTTTACTTATATGGCTGGCTTATCCTCAGTTTTGGTAGAATAACCTTTGAGTTACTTGGTAAATACTAAGCGTTTTAGTATTGTGAAATGAAAAGTTTACTGTTCTTTTAAAATAAATACAAATTGACTAACCATGATCGACTTGCTTTACCTCATACAGCAAATTAAAATTTGTCACCAATCTGTTTAGCTCACAATTAATGATCAGTGTAAGAAGGTTATGATAAGAACTCTAAAGACAAAAATATTTTTGCCTCTAATAATTACATAGTGTTTAGATCTTAGGAATACAACTCTTGGTAGAATGCTCATTTCATTATTTTATAAATGCTTTCCATTGGGTGGAACTAGTTTTTACTGGAGGTTGTTGAGTTCAGAATGGACCTAATGATGGGGCAATTTACTGTGCTCACAGAAGTAGCCTAAGAGAGATGAGATGCCAACAGCAGAGGGTTACTGATAGGATTTCCAATTATTTTCAGGCTTTAAAGGGCAGCTCCCCTTTTACTGCCATTCTTATTCAAGGTTTTCTTTATAAGGTTGCCTGATTGCAAATTCTAAATATTGATACACTTTCTGAAACGTAAGCTTTGAGATCAGCCCATGAGGTGGAATTTATGTTGCTACAGAGAAGTTTAAAATGCTCTATTAAACATATCTCTTATCCCATGCCTTTTGATTTTTACTGTTTGAATGGAAGGTATAGGTGGCCAGGGAGTGGGTACATGGGTGGGAGTGGGCAGAGGAGTTGAGCAGTAGGATATATATGTATGAGGTAGGGCCATATAGGGAGGCAGCAGCTGAAAGGGGTGGGGTGAGGAGGAACAGAAGTTTACAAAGGCTTTCCAGAAGAGAGGACACCTAAACTGAGTTTTGAAGGATGAGTGCAGGCAAGGAGGAAAGGAAGTTTTAGGTAGAGGTTCTTGCATCTAGGAAGGCACAGAGATCTGGAGACCCACTGGTTGAACCGCAGGGGCTTCAGTATGGCTTTGGTACAGAGTAAGGGTAATTACAGGGAGGGGAGAAGTGATTGGGAGGTGGACTAGGTCCAGAACAGCAATTTGGATATTCATAGGTGGTGTATTGTGTTAACATGGTATCGGATTTATGAACTTTGGAAAGATCACTCTGAAAGTTGCAGAAGGCAGGGCAAGAGTGGAGACAGGCAAACAATGACAGCTTTTCCAACAGTTCAAACCTAAAATGAGGAACTGGACTAGGGATGTCCCTGCTGGGGATGAAGAGGAGATATATCTGAAAGATATTCAGGAGGTGGAATTAACAGGGTTTAGGAGATAGAGGGGGAGAAGACAATGATGTCAAGGCATTTGGATGAAAGGAAGCTCTTAACTGAGAGAACAGGGAGGGAGAGACAGGTTCAGAAAATAAAATGAGTGCAGTTTGGAACAGTTACCTGTGGGCATTTGGAGTTGTCAGGTTTATAGGCACTGGCTGTAGGTGCCAATGAGGCTTGAAGGCAGGGTTTTTTAATCTTACTCTTCTTTGTCTTCCTCAGCAGTAATCACTGTGCTTTGATGTAGGAGGTGTATAGTATGAGAGTGACGATCTCATCCCTTACAAGTAATTTCCCCTCTCAAGACCTTTGTTTCCCTTTTTGTAAGGGAGTTGAACTAGATCATTTCTTCTCAAAATTGTGCAATCATCTGGTATGTTGGGATCCGTTGTGTGGTATGGCAAGTTATTTTTAATAATAAAGAGCTATGTTTGCTTGCCTTTTAAATGAGAATTGACTCTTTTCACTTCTTAACTGCATTCCAGTATGCTTTTCTAAGTACTTTCTCCTGGGAGAAAGGAATGGTGTTGCACTCGACTGGAATTTCCTAACTCTGGATATACCAGTGCGTATGTCACATGGAGGAGTGGGGTAGGGAGGTTAAGAATCACTGTACTGAACTGTGGTTCAGGACTTAAAACTACAAAATTCCATGTTTATATCTAGGACCTGTCATTCTGATTATAAATAATTTTTATTTTCTCAACTGCAGGAGCTCTATTTTAAGAACCTCTCAAAACAAAGGAAACAAATCATGGAAAAGAATGGGAATAACCGAAAACTTCGGGTGTGTGTTGCTACTTGCAACCGTGCTGATTATTCTAAACTTGCCCCGATCATGTTTGGCATTAAAATGGAACCTGAGTTCTTTGAACTTGATGTGGTGGTACTTGGCTCTCATCTGATAGACGACTATGGGTAAGAAAAAAACATTTTCTTCTGATACTCCTCTTTGCAACATGGTGTACTAGAGAGAGCTTGGATCTTGGCACCCTGTGGGCTAAGCTTCAAATCCCAGTTCTACCATTTAGTTTTGTGTTTTTTTCCCCCCTTCAGACATTTTATTTATTTGTTTGTTTGTTTGTTTGTTTTCAGTATCATTAATCTACAATTACATGACCGACATTATGGTTACTAGACTCCCCCCATCATCAAGTCCCTACCCAATACCCCATTACAGTCACTGTCCATCAGCGTAGTAAGATGATGTAGAATCACTACTTCTCTTCTCTGTGTTGTACAGCCCTACCCATGCCCCCAACCTCCTATATTATGTCTGCTAATAGTAATGCCCCTTTTCCTCCCTTATCCCTCCCTTCCCACCCACCCTCCCCAGTCCCTTTCCCTTTGGTAATTTTAGTCCATTCTTGGGTTCTCTGAGTCTGCTGCTGTTTTGTTCCTTCAGTTTTTGCTTTGTTCTTATACTCCACAGATGAGTGAAGTCATTTGATACTTGTCTTTCTCTGCCTGGCTTATTTCATTGAGCATAATACCCTATAGCCCCATCCATGTTGTTGCAAATGGTAGGATTTGTTTTCTTCTTATGGCTGAATAATATTCCATTGTGTATGTGAACCACATCTTCTTTATCCATTCGTCAACTGATGGACACTTAGGTTGCTTCCATTTCTTGGCTATTGTAAATGGTGCTGCGATAAACATAGGGGTGCATATGTCTTTTTCAAACTGGGCTGCTGCATTCTAAAGGTAAATTCCTAGGAGTGGAATTCCTGGGTCAAATGGTATTTCTATTTTGAGTTTTGTAAGGAACCTCCATACTGCTTTCCACAATGGTTGAACTAATTTACATTCCCACCAGCAGTGTAGGAGGGTTCCCCTTTCTCCACATCCTCACCAACATTTGTTGTTGTTTGTCTTTTGGATGGTGGTGATCCTTCCTGGTGTGAGGTGATATCTCATTGTGGTTTTAATTTACATTTCTCTGATGACTAGTGATGTGGAGCATTTTTCATGTGCCTGTTGACCATCTGAATTTCTTCTTTGGAGAAGTGTCTGTTCAGATCCTCTGCCCATTTTTTAATTGGATTATTTGCTTTTTGTTTGTTGAGGTGCATGAGCTCTTTATATATTTTGCATGTCAATCCTTTATTGGATATGTCATTTATGAATATATTCTCCCATACTGTAGGATGTCTTTTTGTTCTTCTGATGATGTCCTTTGCTGTACAGAAGCTTTTCAGCTTGATAGTCCCACTTGTTCATCTGTGTTTTTTTTTTCCTTGCCCAGGGGGATATGTTCATGAAGAAGTTGCTCATGTTTATGTCCAAGAGATTTTTGCCTATGTTTTTTTCTAAGAGTTTTATGGTTTCATGACGTACATTCAAGTCTTTGATCCATTTGAATTTACTTTTGTGTATGGGGTTAGACAATGATCCGGTTTCATTCTCTTACATGTAGCTGTCCAATTTTGCCAACACCAGCTGTTGAAGAGGCTGTCATTTCCACATTGTATATCCATGGCTCCTTTATCAAATATTAATTGACCGTATATGTTTGGGTTAATATCTGGACTCTCCATTCTGTTCCACTGGTCTGTGGATCTATTCTTGTGCCAGTACCAAATTTTCTTGATTACTGTGGCTTTGTAGTAAAGCTTGAAGTTGGGAAGTGAGATCCACCCTGCTTTATTCTTCCTTCTCAGGATTGCTTTGGCTGTTTGGGGTCTTTTGTGGTTCCATATGAATTTTAAAACTATTTGTTCCAGTTCGTTGAAGAATACTATTGGTATTTTGATAGGGAATGCATTGAATCTGGGGATTGCTTTAGGCAGAATGGCCATTTTGACATTATTAATTCTTCCTAGTCAAGAGCATGGGATGAATTTCTGTTTGTTCGTGTCCTCTTTAATTTCTCTTAGGAGTGTCTTGTAGTTTTCAGGATATAGGTCTTTCACTTCTGTGGTTAGGTTTATTCCTAGGTATTTTATTCTTTGTGATGCAATTGTGAATGGAATTGTTTTCCTGATTTCTCTTTCTGTTACCTCATCGTTAGTGTATAGGAAAGCAACAGATATCTGTGTATTAATTTTGTATCCTGCAACTTTGCTGAATTCAGATATTAGTTCTAGTAGTTTTGGAATGGAGTCTTTAGGGTTTTTTCTGTACAATATCATGTCATCTGCAAATACTAACAGTTTGACTTCTTCTTTACCAATCTGGATGCCTTGTATTTCTTTGTGTTGTCTGATTGCCATGGCTAGGACCTCCAGTATTGTGTTGAATAACAGTGGGGAGAGTGGGCATCCCTGTTTTGTTCCTGATCTTATGTGATCTACCACTTAGTTTTATGTGGCCTTGGAGAAGTTGCTTAGCATCTTGAAGGCTCAGATTCCTCAATTACAAAATGGAGTGAGAAACCTATGTTGTCAGTTATTTTGAAGAATGGTGATAGTTATATGAAATATTCATCTTGGATAAATAATAGCTATAAATGTTTTTGTTATTTGTTTCTACATTCAGGAGAAATGCTACTCATATATATTGTGTGACTATAATAATGTGATTCCATGTAATCTTGTTTGTGAATTCTGGTAATTCTGTGTTAAAACTAGTATATAAATCAACAGCATATAATGTAGTAGATAGGGAACAAGATTTAAAAAATCTTAACTGATCTACAAGGTGAAGTAGAATGTTATATTATCACTATTATTGATATTTATTTTGGTGACATTAGGCTTACTATTGATTTTCCAACTACTTATGAAAGTTGGGAAATCTTTGAGGGAATAGAATGTATAAATCAAAGGTGAGCATTCATTTTGTTCTGTGTAGTAAGGTGGCGCTTAGTGCGCCCTTGTGGCATGAAGACATTGGTGCAACCACTGTCAGAAGCACATATATGAAGAAGTTTGTGTTAAAGTACAATTGTCTTTTTTAGACTATTCTTTAAAAACAGACAATAACATTAGCAAAAACAAATAAAAACCTGCCTCTGTAAACCAATTTACTTTAAGAAAATACTTAAAGAGTTGTAGAGAAACTTAAGGATAGCCCAGAAAGTCATGAGTTTTAAAAATGTTAAATCTGGCTAAGAAAATCCACTGGGTTTTCTAAATAACATAGGACAAAGGAGAAGAGAAATTTTAGCTAGAGATGAAAATCTAGTCTAAGCTTGTTCTTTTACTTCTGGGAGAAGAGTTTGACAGGAAAGCTAGTGGGAGGGAGGATCTCAAAGAAACTGTGATAGTGTCTTCTCTGCCTACCACAGTCATAGGGGTGGAAAGATATTTGTCTGGTGAGGCTGTTAAACAGGAAACTTGACTAGTACTTAATGGAAATGTATGTTTAAAGTACATTCTAACATGAAATTGGTTGCTTCTGGGGAGAGGAACCGGATGACTGGGAAAAAGAAGTGAGACGGTAGCCTTTTCACCAGAAAATCTTTTCGATCTTGAATTTTAAACCATGTGAATATATTAGTTATTTAAAAAAGATATAATAATAATAATAAAATCTACTTTCTATTTCAACTAATTGGACATTTTTTAAAAAGCATTGCTATACTGCTAAGAATTGGGCAAAAAAGGAAATAATTAACAACAGACTGCTTAGAAATTCATTTGTTCATTTATTTCATATATGAGTTGGTGATACAAACTATTAAGACATTTTAGAATGGTTTTAAGTCTACAACAAAATTGAACAGAGGGTATAGATGTTTCCCATATACCTTCCTGCTCCCACAAATATACAGCCTCCCCTATTATCAACATCCCCCACCAGAGTGGTATTATTTGTTACAGTTGGTGAATCTACATTGACACACTAAGTCTATAGTTTACATTAGGGTTAAATTTGGTGGTGTAAATTCTGTAGGTTTGGACAAATGTATAATGATATATATCTACCATTATAGTACTCTACAGAGTTGTTTCACAAAACCCTAAAAAGCTATTCATCCCCAACCTCTGGTAATCACTGATTTTTACCATCTCCAAAGATTTCCTTTTTCCAGAACGTCACATGCTTGGAATCATATAGTATGTGGCCTCTTCAGATTGGCTTCTTTCACTTAGTAATATGCATTTGAGTATTCATGTGTTTTTATGGCTTGATAGTCATTTCTTTTTAGTGCTGAATAATATTCCATTGTCCGGAAGGGCCACAGTTTATCCATTCACCTAATGAAGGACATCTTGGTTGCTTTCAAGTTCTGGCAATTATGAATAAAGCTGCTGTAAACACCCACTTTACAGATTTTTGTGTAGATGTAAGTTTTCAGCTCCTCTGGGTAGATACCAAGGAGTACAGTTGCTGGATTATATGGTAATAATATGTTTAGTTTTTTAGAAACCACCAAGCTGTCTTCCAGAGTAGCTGTTATCATTTTGTATTCTGCCAACAGTGAATGTGCATTCCCATTGCTCCACTTCCTCACCAGCATTTGGTGGTGTCAGTGGTCTATATTTTGGCCATTCCAGTAGATGTATAGCAGTATCTGATTGTTTTTAATTTGCTTTTCCCTGATGATGTGTGCTGTGAAGCATCTATTAATATGCTTATTTGCTATCTTTATATCATCTTTGGTGAGGTGTCCGTTAAGGTCTTTACCCTTTTTTAAGTCAGGTTGTTTTTTTGTTGTCAAGTTTTAAGCCTATAGATGAAACAAGATATCCTAACAGAAATTAGAAAATCTCTAAACTGAATAATAAAATTACAGTGTATCAAAATTTGTAGGTATAGATGTCTTTTAAAAAAGAGGTTTAGAGTCAATGATCTGTTTTCACTTTATTAAACAAGAAAAAGATGAGAAAATTAACCCAAAGTAAGTAGAAGGGAGAAAATGAGTAGAAATCAGTGACATATAAAAATAGATGAAACATTAGAAGAAATTAACAGAGCCATAGTTCTTGAAAAAGTTCTTCACAAACTCCTAGTAAAACATAAAAAAAGAGAACACAGAAATTACCAATATAAGTTGACAAAGAGGATATCACTACTGATCTTAACAGCCATTAAAAGAATAATGGGAGAATATTAGGCCAATAAATTTGAGAATCAACTTAGCTAAAGCAGACCAACTCCTTGAAAAAAACATTCCTATAAAACTGACAAAGAAGAAACTGGAAATCTCAATAGCCCTGTATCTGTTCAATTGAATTCATTATAAAACATTTCCTATAAAAATAATTTCCCACAAAGATGGCTTCACTTATGAATTCTATCAAACACATAAGGAAGAAATAACACCAGTCTTACACAAACTCTTTCAGAGAATGAAACTTTCCCAGACTGTTTTATAAGGTTAGTATAATTCTGATATTGCAACCTGACATATACATAAGTTCAGACCAGTAGCCCTCATGAGTGCAGGCATAAAATTGAAAAAAAAATAACATCCAGTAGTATAAAAAACACATGATCATGACCAACTGGGTTTCTCTCAAGAATTCAATATTGATTTAACATTTGAAAATCAGTGTAATTCATGTTAACAGAATAGAGGAAACACATGATCGTTGCAAGAGATGTCAAAAAAGCACTTGACGAAATTAAACAGTTATGATAAAAATTCTTAGCAAACCTGGAATAGAAGGAAAATTCCTCAGTGGGTCAAAGGCCATATGTGAAAACCCCACAGCTAATATAAAATTATTCTCTCCCCTACCTGAGATTGGAAACAAGATAAATATTTCTACTTTTCAACTTGTACTGGACATAAGCAAGAAACTGAGTAAAGACACGAAGATTGACTTTACTTCCAGAAAACATGATAGTTCATATAAGAAAATCCAAAGGAATCTATAAAATGACTACTAGTACATCTCTATGGTGTAAAGTAATGTATGTAAAGAATACTTGATGATTTGAGAAAAATATTAGTGTTAAATGGATTATGTAGATTACAAAATTATATGTATGATATGTTCTCAACTGTGGTAAAATATGTATAAAGTGGCTGGAAAGAAAGGAATAAAAAAAAACAGTGGGGTTTAGGAATGATAATTTTTGGTATTTTCCGATTTTAAAACAACGTATTATATTTAGAAAGAAAGCCATATCTTTTAAAATCTAGTCATATCAGACAGGCAACTGTAAGGCATTGAGAATTGCTATGGTTATTGAAGCATGAAACAGCCAATTTAATGTTGTGAAACCTACATTTTCACCTCATTCAGAATTACGCTGTATTAATGGTACCATACAAAGAGAAATCAGGAGATGATTTTCATCATTCGGAAATTTATTTTATAGTGACAGGTCAGTTATTTTTCCTGACTCCCTATATATATTTTTTGTTACAAAATAGCAAAAAAAAACAATGAACTTTGCTTATAAGTAACATTTTTCTATTAAGTGGCATATTTCTTTGTAAAGATTCATAAAAAAAGAAGAAAGTCATAAACACTGTTAAAAGTTTGGTCTTTTTTTCCTAATAGAAAAAAATTCTCCCTCAGATGTTTCTACCTCCAGGTATTGACCAGGAGGGGCACAAGTGAGACTTCCAAGATTATTTTACATCCTGATCTGGATGGAGGCTGTTTGTGTAGAATAATTAATCAAGGGGTCTGTGCATTTATGACCTATACTTTTAATTTCTGTGTGCAGGTTACACACCAATTCATTAACTTTATTTTAACAAGTAAATTTTACACATATTTTTCCCGTTAGGGTTGTTAAATTGCTTTTCTCAATGTTTTTGGCCCTGTGTTTAAGAACATGCTCTTACATCTTTATTTCTCTCCTGCTTTAGAAACACGTATCGTATGATTGAACAAGATGACTTTGACATTAATACCAGGCTACACACAATTGTTAGAGGAGAAGATGAGGCAGCCATGGTGGAGTCAGTAGGCCTGGCCCTAGTGAAGCTACCAGATGTCCTTAATCGCCTGAAGCCTGATATCATGATTGTTCATGGAGACAGGTTTGATGCCTTGGCTCTGGCTACATCTGCTGCCTTGATGAACATCCGAATCCTTCACATTGAAGGGGGGGAAGTCAGTGGGACCATTGATGACTCTATCAGACATGCCATAACAAAACTGGCTCATTATCATGTGTGCTGCACCCGAAGTGCAGAGCAGCACCTGATATCCATGTGTGAGGACCACGATCGCATCCTTTTGGCAGGGTGTCCTTCCTATGACAAACTTCTCTCTGCCAAGAACAAAGATTATATGAGCATCATTCGGATGTGGTTAGGTAAGTCTCAGACTTACGCAGTCTAATGGTTGTTTCTGTCAGTGTTGAATATGTTTCAATCCTTTCAGAAACTACTGTGGATAGAATATTCCGTGAGCAATCAGAAGGCACAGGTTTTAGTTCATAGATCTCACCCTGTGGTATGACCTCACTCCATGACTCTCACCTTTTCTGTAAAACAGGCTTAAAGGATTGACTTTTTAAAATCTATAATGTATAGAGTGAATATTTAGATGTAGGTGAATATTTAGTTACAACAGATCTTGATACAACAAAAAGGAAAAATTATACATATAATATGCCATTTTTATAAAAATTGTAACATAATGGAAAAGTTAGGAAGTAGGTGCACTGAATCATTTGTGGTACTTATTTCTGGTTAGTAGAATTATAAGTGTTTTTGTTTTTCTGTATTTTGTTTTTTAGTACAATGAAAAAATTACTTTTAATTCCTTTTTTATGGCATTGTTGGAATACTCAGGTGAGATAATGAATGTTGAAAACAGTAAGCCATAAGTACTTACTAATACAAGGGATTATGATGATAAATGTTAAAAATCAAAAGTCATAATTGTACTACTAGATTTTTTATTTCTATAAATAAGCCTTAAGGTCTGAAATCTTCACTGATCAGTGATCTAGCTTCCTAGAAGTAATCTTTTGCTAATCAGAGGAAAAGAAAATAGGTTTATAAACAGAATGTCAATTAGTTAATTTATTTTTAGAGTAATATCTTGAGGACAAATGGGACTAATTATTTAAGTATTTATGGCTTTTTTAAGATAGAACTTAAATAATAAAATTAATGAATAGAAAATTGACTGAGTGATTGTGTATATTTTTAATCCAGATCTTATTAGAACAGAAAAGAATTGGGCTTTCCTACCATATAAGTTAATCCAGTCTATGTATTTCTTATCCTTGGACAGATTTGCAGTTATCATGGAAGCTGTCTAAATAATGCGGGAACAAACTTCTGTCTCTTCAGTCTCTCTTTTCTGTATGCTTCTAAGTAAACACTCTTGCATTCTCTTCTGATTATACTGTTAGCTCTATATGTATTCTGAAAACATACTTCTGAAAAACTTGCAATGAATGAAAAATAACCCTTTTAAAGCTGAACGCAGCAAGACTGTACCTGTAGGGTTTAAAGTACTATCTGAAACCATTGAAGCAATTTATGAAAAGAAGTATGACAAAATAGCAAAAACTGTATTTTTTTTTAACAAGTGAAAAAGAAAAGGCAGTGAATCCAAACTACCCCTGGCAATAGACATTTGTACAGAGCGTACAGTGGCTTCTTGACCTGCAACTTCTGATGTTACCACCCTGCTTATAGGAAAATGGGTTGGGTAAGGCCACTCAGGACATGCAGCCTTGTATTCAGAATATTAATAAGTAGTAGCCCTAATAAAAATGTTATCAAAGTTAAAAACACATGTTAAATTCGTAATAAAGAAACACAACAGCAAATGCAGAACTTTACAACACAAGACAAAATGATACCTTCGTGAAAAGGATTGTGTGGGAGGGCTAAAGCTGATGAGTTCTGGAGACAAGGGCAGAGAATGTCAGAAGTTGCACATCGAGAAGCAACAGATTTCATGTTTAGTCTTTTCCATCCAGTTTCCACCAATAAGAAAACGCAATAGCCAAAAGACATAAACCTCAGAAGGTGAAATAGTGTCTCAGGAAGTCCTGATCCCGCTGACCACAGTAAAACAACCATTATTGTTACTTCTTGCTCTCTTACTTATGTTAGCTGTACCTTAAAGTAAGAAGCTTCTTTAATTCATTAATATTGCTGATAATTCATTAGAAACACTAGTTAGAAATTGGGAAGATTCACATTTTTCTAATGCATTGAAATACTTTGGGTTTTAAAACAATGAATTATTGTGTCTGTTATTTAAAGTTATTTATATATTTTGCTTGAGGCAGCATGTACCTTTGTAAAATTTTAAGCTTGCTGAATTACTTAAATTCAGCAGGACTTGTTTTTCTGTAAATTCATATGATTTGATCCTAATTTGGATGCTTTCTTAGGATTTTAGTTTTTCTTTATCATTTTTAAAAGCATAGGCTTTGGGGTCTTGCTTTTTAGAATTTGCTTCTTCCTCCTTTAAGATTCTTAACTAATGAAGCAATGTGGTTTGGTTTTCTTTAAACAGGTGATGATGTAAAACCTAAAGATTACATTGTTGCACTACAGCACCCTGTGACCACTGATATTAAGCATTCCATAAAAATGTTTGAATTAACATTGGATGCCCTTATCTCATTTAACAAGCGGACACTAGTTCTGTTTCCAAATATTGATGCAGGTAACTGAACTTGAAAATGAAATTATGCCACCTATCTTTCCAGTTTTATGTTTCTAGTATGTCTTCTTTTGACTGCCCTTCCTGTCTTACTCATCTTATCATTGAAGGCCACTTTATTCTGAAATACATTTCAATTTTCAAAGGATCACCAATTTTGTAGTGGATAGTACAGGTTGTAAGGTTTTTGCAAAGTTTAGTAGAAACTTAATAGGAAAGAAATACTATACAGTTATCCAGTAACTATTGTGTACATTTGAAACCAACATAATATTGTACATCAACTTTATTACAATTAAAAAGTAAAAAATTTATCTAATCTGTACTCTAGTTTCATGTTTAACCTCTTCTCTTTAGTTTCCACCAACCAGAAAATGCAATGGCCAAGAGGCATAAACCTTAGAAGGTGAGAGTGTCTTTACGAAAGTTAACAATCTCACTGACAATAAAACAGCCATTATTATTTCTTGTTCTCTTGTTTATTTATGTTAGCTGTGTTAAGGTAATCTTGAGCTTAAGCAGTTCAGATCTTGAATTTCCAACCACTTGATCCTCAAGCCTGACCTAGTTGAGCACCTACTTGTGGATGGTATTGTAGGCTTTGGTGCTAGTGAGACCTTACCCAGGTGACTGGGGATATGAGATATCAATAAGAAATGCCAGAGCAGGGCTTGGCACTGAGGAGCTTTCAAATACTGGTACTTTTTAGCTGACACCACTCACTGCTGAGTAATTCAGCATTTTTTGTTAAAGGAGGCAGGACCCTTCTTTGCAATGCCAAGATGTCACCATCTTACTCTGAAAATTTCCCTCTTTTAGTGTCTCTTGAATAACCTTTTCTCTTGGAGGAAATAAAGGGTGTTAGTTGGTAAAAAAAATTAAGAACTCCCAACACAGATTTCATCCAGGTAATGTATCACTATTTCAAAACCCTTAATAATTATTCTTTCCTAATCCTAAATTTTCCTAAATTTAGTTTTGTGTGAATTTTATAATGTAATTATGTGTCTGTCTTACTAAGTATTCATTGCCAATGATACTGTTTGTAATATACTTTTCTGATTGTATGCACTTTAGAATGAGAGATATTTTTCCCCTGTGACAATAAAGGGTTCCAGGAATGCCTAAATCATGTCTGCCACTTGCCTCTCTTCCTCACAGGGTTTTCGATAAAGTATACACAAGACATAATAGGGAAATAAGGGAGAGCCAAGGCATCTCTTTATCTTTATCCGGCATGGTACGCACTTTCCCCGATGTAAACAGCGTAAGTGCCTGAGGTTTAGGCTTCAGGCTAAAGAAAAGCCTTCAGTGAGCCCAAATCTGAATCTTGGAATGGTAGCACCTTCTGCATACCATGTAGTACAGTAATTATAGGTGACGACTGGCGTGCGCTGGCAGGATTGGATATAGAGAGAAGTGGCCGGGCCTCCTCTAAGGAGTTAGACCCTGCGTCTATTACCTACCTTGCTACATAGAGAAAGTTAAAAAAGAGACACAACGCATGCATGCCCAGCCTCTACATCAGTGGCTCCTGCCCACTGGTGAACATGATGTGGTTGCTTTCCTGCCATCTAACCAATCAGAGTAGCAACTTTGCCTCCTTTGGTAGGTGGTAGCTTTGGGTGAGTAGACAGGCATCAAATATTGTCTTCCCTTCTACACCTGTAACATTGTTTAAAAATCATGCATTTCAAATAAAATACCAGCCACAGTATCAGAATTTATCTACATTTTCTTAGAGCTTCCTCCCTGTAAAGTGGATCTGACATACATTGAGCTATATGATTAAGTGTAAATGTGAGCACAGCTGAGGCAGAGGCTCTCTGATCAGCTTGGGATGCGGAGGCCAAGACATTTCCATTTAGGAACTTCCAGCTTTTGAGACAAAGACTGCTGGCTTCTCTTGAGCCTCTTAATTGTTGTTTAAGGTAAAGACTTTCCCTGGGGTGTTAATAAAGGGAATTTACTTTGCTGAATGCTGTTTGAAAAAGTCCCAGCTGCTGCTGTTTAAAGTTCTTAGATGAACTGAAGCAGAGAGCTGACCAGACATTTTAGATACTCATCATGAAGAGATCAGTGAGTTTTCATAGGGAGATTTCTAAGTGGGGTATGTTTCTTTATATCATAAACCATTTAACATTGGTTCTTTTCATTTTCAAAGGGAGCAAAGAGATGGTTCGAGTGATGCGGAAGAAGGGCATTGAGCATCATCCCAATTTCCGTGCAGTTAAACACGTTCCGTTTGACCAGTTTATACAGTTGGTTGCCCACGCTGGTTGTATGATTGGGAACAGCAGTTGTGGGGTACGAGAAGTTGGAGCTTTTGGAACACCTGTGATCAACCTAGGAACACGTCAGATTGGAAGAGAAACAGGTATTTACCTTTGCTTATATGTCAACTGACTAGGCTTGATACATACATAGGAATTACTAGAAGGTATGCATGTGTCAGTACTGGCATATATTTTTATGAAGAAGTGAATGAAGGAGGTTAATGACCAGTTGTAGCTTAAAATCTATAAATAGCACACAGTGATTACCAAATTGTTTTAGGGCTCTAACTTACATGTTTATTGTCTTTGTAATATCAGAAACTAAGAGTTTCATAGTTAATTATGGTCTTTGATGGCTGTGTTTAAGAGAGAATGTTATTGAATATGTTCTAGGTATATGAATGCTAGTCTTTCATTTTCTGGACCCAGTAGAATCTCTTTAATCAGTACTTTTTCATTTCTAATTGAAATATAGTTGTAAAATGTTATATTATTTCAGGTGTACAACATAGTGATCTGACAGTTACATACATTACTAAATACCACAATAAGTATAGTTGCCATATGTCATCATACAAAGATATTACAATATTACTGCCTAGTCAGTACCTCAGAACATGGCAATTCTAAGTAAGATGCCCCCTTAATAACTACATGTAAGTAGGATCATTATTAATAAATTTGCTGACTGAGCTAAATCTTATTACCAACATCAGTTCAAGTTCTAATACTACACATGCAAATATATTGCTGTAGCTGATGGAAAAATGAATATAGTTTATGTAAAAAGAACTGGACTAGAATAAAGATGAGTTCCAGTTCTGTTCTTTCTCCATCCTCCATAATTGCTACCCTATTTTCTATTATATTCAAATATTCTTCCCCTTTTATTACCAACATATTACTTTGCTCCCCACTTTGCAGAGAAAATAGAAGTCATCAGGTAGAAATTCTTTCAATTTCATCAATTCATTCATTAAGAAAATATTTAATAAGCACTTACTATGTCCTAGGCACTGGCATTTGGCAGTAAACTAGACTAACAAGAGCTAAGATTTTGTGTAAGTTCTATTCTAGTGAGAGGGGAGATAGATGATAGAAAAGAAAAATACCAGCATTTCTGTGTACTGTGCTATAAGACGAAGTAACATGATGGACTACAGTAGATTGGATAAGGAAGGTCTCTGTGAGGAGATCATGGATTCTTGTTATTCAAATCTTTAAGCTGAGATTTGAATAACAAGAATCTATGAGTATCAGGGAGAAGAGGGAACAGCCAGTATGAAGACCCTAAGATAGGAGTAAGCTTGATGTATTTGAGAAACAGAAGGGCCAATGCAGATGTCAAATAGTGGGCGAGAGGAAGTGACGCACAGTGGTGCTAGTGAAGGAAGCTGACCTTTGTAAGGCAAGGTGAATAGTCTGGAATTTTTTGTAACGATGAGAAAGCTGTTTGTGGGAGAGGATGACACCATATGACTTGACGTTTTGGAAAGATCACTCCAACTGCCATGTGGAGGGAAAGTAGTGGAACAGGAGGGGAAGCAGGGAGACCAGTGAAGAGGTTATTTCAGTGCATGTGAGAGGTTACTGTGGCAGGCTGCGTGGTAGTATCAGAGATGGAGGAAAGTTTGATTTGGGGTTTGTTGCGGTACTTGCTGATGCTTGGATGTGAGTGATGAAAGGAAGAAGGCAGTCAACAATAGTTATTAGGTTTTGGATTGAGCAGTAGGGGTACTCTTTCTTGACCTGGGGACACTGAGGAGGAATAGATTTGGGAGGAGTGGAATTAAGAGTTCTGTCATGGACATATTGAGATGCCTATTAGATATTAATGTGGAGATGGCAGGTAAGAAGCTAGATAGTTCCAGAGAGAGTTTGACTTGGAGATAAAAATTTGAGAATGACTGGCATACAGATGGTGTTTAGTTAGCCTATCAGTTTGGCTGCTGTAACAGAGAGACCTGCGATAATAGTGTCTTAAGTAAGTTAGATTTCCTTTGTTTCTCACTGGTAGGGGCAGTTCCACACTCATCAGAGACTTAACTTCCATCTTCTTGATGGTTGTCCAGTTCTTCCTGGAAAGGGGAAGGTGTCCTTCCTTTTAAAAGTACAGCCTGGAAGTTGCAAGTATCTCTTCACACATCCCAATGGCATGTAGTCTAGCTGCAGGGGAAGCTGAAGAGTAAGTACGTAGTCTTTAGCTGGGTGATCAAATGCCCAGCTAAAAATTCTGTTACTAATACAGAGAAAGGATATTGAGGATAATGGAGCAGTCTACCAGAGGTGGTATTTAAAACCAAGAGACTAAATGAGATTCCCTAGGGAGAGCATGTAAATAGGGAAGAGAATGGAGCCCAGGACCAACCTCTGGAGCCCTTCACCATTTAGAGTTCTGGTGAGGAGGGAAGGCCAGCAAGGAGGACTAGAAAGGAACTGCCAGTGAGGTCAGAGGAAAACCAGGAGGGTGGTATCATTAAAGCCTAGAAAACGAAGTATTTCAAGGAGCTGGTGTTGGATGCTGCTGAGAATTTAAGATGTGAACAGAGAATTAAACTGATTTGGCAATGTGGTCTTTTGTCAAAAGTAGTCCCTGCACTTTCTGCCACCATACTTACATCAACACATACCCACCCATCCTTTTCTTACCTTCTTTAGATTGGCAGGCATGGGGTTTTCCTGCCTGTCCACTGCTCAGCTTTCTACCTGTGTTAGTCTAAGTCCCCACCCTTCCTGCCTTCTCAGGGACCTACCAGTCATCCTTTTCTACCATGTATCTTTAGCTTTCTCACCATTTAAAATGTTTAGGTCTCTCATATCTTAAAAATAAAACAATATAAATTACCTCTTCCTTGACCCCATGCCTCTCTCCAGCCACCACCCTCTGCTGTTCTCTTCTCAGCCAAGTCTATTGAAAAAATATAGCCATTTTCACTGTATTTACTCCCTCACATTGGTCAGAAAAATGTATGGGAAAAAGTGACTGTCTGAAGATTTGACTGGCTAATTGACTATTTGGCCAACCTGGCCTGTCAGCTGATTTACCAAGTTGGCTGAGTAGATGGAAGGCACGGCAAAGTGGAAGAGTGGACATGCTAGATGACTAGATGGGTGGTAAGTGGGTGTTACATCAATCTACCTTATTTATTTCCATAAAGAAACAAAAACTTGATTTATTGTCTTTGAGAATAAAGGACCCTAGTGTCCTTAAATATTCAGTATATGGAAGTCTTGCTGAGTGCATATAAAGTAGAAAAGCTGGTGTTTCTCTAACAGAAGAAGACTCATTTGAAGTTCCCTGAATTTCAGGGTTAATTATGAGCACAATACACTGCTAACTTCTTTATTCTTTGAATATTCCCACTTCTGAATCATTGCATTGTGTCACTGGATTTACCTAGGGGAGAATGTCTTGCATGTCCGGGATGCTGATACCCAAGACAAAATACTGCAAGCGCTGCACTTGCAGTTTGGTAAACAGTATCCTTGGTGAGTACACATCCTTCTAAAAAAGGGATTTAAAGGGGGTGCTGCCTTTAGGACCATTTTCAAGCTGTGACCATTGTTTAGTCATCCTAGCAGAGCTCTCATTCTGTGTCCCTTGGGGTCTCTAGCTGCTGGTGAGACAGGGCTTGCTAAGATAACCCTTATTCCAATGGAGAATGACGTTTTTGTTTCAGTTAATTAGTATATAGCACTTCCACTAGGAAATAACTTCCTTAGCTTACTAAATATTAGAAAGTACTAAAGCTGATTCTCTTTAAAAATAGTTTAGGTCACGGAAGATGACTGGTTAGCCAGACGGGTAAGATTCCTCAAGGGAGGAACAACCTAAGACAGGCACAGTTGCAGGGGGGGCCATCAGGTGAGAAATTGGGGATCAACAGTGGTGAGGTTTAGAACCTCACCCCCCCTGTTTTGAGAGAAATCTTCCGCATCCGTGGATGTTTTAATGCCCCTGTCTAGCTTGGATTAACACATAGTCTACAGGCACACACCTGATCATCTACATTTGCTCTCTTATAACACTAAACTATGTTTTCTACCTTTATCTTGCATCCACCTACCACTTCAGTATTTTATTAAAAAT